GTCCTCCCTTTCCTCTCACTGGTGTGATCACTGTCCACATGTATCTATGTTATGCAGCTATCTACACATACCTGTACAGGCATAGAATGTGCACATAAATCCTATTGCACTTTGTTTTTTTGTTTTATTTCAACTTGTACTGACCAGAAAGTGAGACAGAGAGAGAGGGAGAAGAAGAAAGCATCTCCTAAAGGGTTATCGTCATGCTGCCATCCCTTCTCCACTTCTCCATGTCGTTGGGATTTGCGGCACACCTGCATACATGCCCAGTGTGTTTTTCAAGCCACCAGGGCTGGGATGGGAACTGTGTGGTTGGCCATGTGGGCTCTGGCTGCCCCAACTCCCAGGCCATGGGGCCGGACCCTGCCTCTTTCTTTTTTAAACATAAATTGGATCTCGTCTGAAGCCAATTTCCACTTTTGTTCATCTAACATGTCTTGGATATCTTTTTAGATAAATTTCTATGGATCTCCTTTATTCCTTTTTAATGGTTATAGGGTTTTCCATCAAATGGTCCATGGTTTATTTCGCCAGTCTCCTACTTCTGGCCGTCTAGTTGGTTTTTAGGTCTTTATGATGCAAAGGACATTGTTATTCATATACCTTAGAGGTACTTAGTCATATCTAGTTGTAGGTAAAATTATAAAACTGGACAAGCTCACAAATAACATGGGATACTGTGTTTCTCTGGCATTTAGAAAATGTATTTCTTCTTTACTTGTTCTCTTTTTCAAAGTTTTGCTTAGGTGTGGGCCTCACTGAAGAGAGACAGAAAAAGTGACAAATCACCCCCAGAGGGGATGGCCACGCCACAAGCCTTCTCCTTCATTCTCCTCTTGGGATTTTGGGCGCACACACACACAGCCAATGTGATTTTCAGACTGCCAGGTCCGGGACTTGAACCACACAGACAGCCATGTGGGGTCCCGCTGCCCTAACATCCACACCACCTGCTGGCCCTCTTCTTTACTTTTTAAATAGTGTACTTAACATAAGTCTTGTCTTATGTAAGCCCCCAGCAGAAGAGGGGGAGGCCTCCCAGTAGAAGAAGGGGAGGAAAGGAGTGGACCAGAGAACGGAGGCACACTGGGGATATGGCAGCTACCTGCGGCCCAGGCCCCGCCTGGGTGCAGCCGCCAGCCCAGCAGGGCCTGTCTGTTACTGGTTTCTTGCAGATGTGAGGAGAAGGGTCAGAGGCCAGGGAAGGCGTGTGGCCTGGCGGCTGTAGACAATTGTTTCTCCTTTCACATGCAAGAAACAACTGGAGAAGTGTCGGAAGGCTTGTGAGACATGTTTCCCAAGCAAGAGGAAAAAACCATGTAATAATTAAAAAGAAAAAAAAAAAAAGATATTTCCATTTCATGAGCTGCCTAAATTTCATAGAGATCCAGGCCTGAATTAAAATCCATCCTACCCAAACTGTCCCATAAGTATTTATGAGAGACTCCTAGGTGACCTTTTGCCTCATTTAGATAAAAATAATAGTGTCCATCAATAAAATAATTCACATTGAAAAAGATGTTCATTTGATAATGTGCTTTAACACAGCTGTGAACTCAGAGATAGAAAAACATTTACTTGTAATAATTAAAATTTTGGGGGGGACCGACAGGTGGTGTGGTAGTTAGGGCTGCTGGATTTCCAATAGCCAACTACAGTTTGAGTCCCGGACCTGGTGGCTTGCTCTCTCACCTTCTCTCTCTTTCTTTCTCTCTCTGTCCCTCGCTGGTCAAATGTAAAAATAATTAAATAAATACAGTTAAAATAATAAAAGAAAAACATATATTTTTAATTAAGAATTATTTTACTTAGTATTATTTTGTAGAGGTTTTTGCCTTAGGATAAGTGTGTACTTGGAGAGAAAAAGGGGCAGACTGTGAGAAGGAAAGTGAGAAATCACTCCCTGGGGAGGATGACCATGCCACAATCCCTTCTCCTCCATTCTCTTCCAGGGATCTCGGGCATGCACACACATGCGTCCAGTGTGAGTTTCAGGCCACTAGGTCTGGGATTTGAATTGCGGTCAGCTATGTAGAAGTCCAGCAACATAATTGCCACAACATCTGCTGGCTGGCCTCTATTATTATTTTAAAATTTGACCAGAAAGAGAGAAAGGGAAAGTGAGAAAACAAACTACCAGGTCCAGAACTCTAACTGCAGTCAGCCACATGGGAGTCCTGCACCTTTAACTACCACGCCACCTGCTGCCCCCACCCCGCCCATGTTTTTTTTTTTTTTTTTTTGGTAGAGGTTTTTCTTTAGGTGCATGTGCTTGCCAGAGAGAGAGAGAGAGAAAGAGACAGAGACAGTGAGAGGGAAAGTGAGAAATCACCCCCAGGGGGGTGGCCCACCGCAATCCCTTCTCCATTCTCCTCTCGGGTCTTGGGTACACATGCACATGTGCTTGGTGAGTTTCAGGCCTTTGGGTCCAGGACTCAAACCACGGTTGGTCATATGGGAGTCCACGGACATAACCACCAGGCCATCTGCTGGAGCCTCGATTTTTTTTTTTTAAGAGATAATTTTTTTTGTATATAATGTGTGCACTCACCAGAGAGACAGAAAGTGAGAAATCACTCCCCAGCTAAGATATCCATGCCACAATCCCTTCTCCTCCACTCTCCTCTTGGGATTTTGGGCACGCACACTGGGCCTGAGTTTTAAGTTGGCAGGTTCAGACCCCAGCCATCTTCTGGTCTGGACCCCCAAATTTTTAATATGGTACTAATGACACAGGAATTGGGAAATTTATGATTACACATGAAAATCAGTACTGGGTTTTCACAACATTTTAAGTATGGGACTTTCACATCAAACCATTTAGGGTCTTCCACCTCTGTCTCCCACTCTCGGCCCCCAGAAATGTCCCAGAACTGCTTTGGTGGCTGGCAGCCCTACATCTGCCCTGCTTTCTCCATCGAGGTAAACCATGTGATCCTAAAGGAGACCTACTTTGCAGTAGCTGTGAGCACCCACATTAGCTAAAGAGACAGCCTACGTTTCTACAGGGCTTTACCACACATCCCCTATTTGTAAAAGGGTCATTTTAACCTTGATAAAAAACAGATCTGTATAATCAAAGTCATGCGAGGTCTCTCTTTAAACTGTTTATAACTAGTTCTTGCGTACAATGGTTTTTCAACAGTTATTTCCATCCAAGGTGAGTTGGTGCTAGCTTCTGGTGATGACAGAGTCCACCACACAGTTTACACCCAACAAGAAGCTCAAGACCGGGCCAGGAGACCGACGAGTAAATGGAGATGCTCAACAGCCAAGGACATCAAAGCAAGCAGTACCAAATGGAAGCATCAAGGGAATGATTTCTGAGAAAAGTGGCGACTACTGAAAAAGAGGTAGCCAGGGGCCAGCAGGTGTGATGGTTAAGGTTAAACTCCCACATGGCAGACTGTGGTTCGAGTCCCAGACCTGGTGGCTTGAAAATCATGCGGTGCACATGTGTGTGCATGCCTACAATCCCAGGAGGAGAATGGAGGAGAAGGGATTGCAGCATGGCCATCCCTGCCCACCCAGCTGGGGGAAGAGGAAGGTTTCTCACTGTCCTTCTCACTGTCTCTATTACTCTCCAGTGAGCGCACACGCCCTATGGCAAAAAAAAAAATCCTTAAAAGGGAGGGGGGGGTGTTAGCACATGGGCCAGAGCATGTGCACGCGCGATTGAGTGTAGGTTTATCCTGGGGATGATGGGAAGCCATCAGCTGGAGTGATATGAAGAGATCTGCCTTCTGGAAGGATGAGCGTGGGTGCAGGGCAGAGAGAAAGGATTGGAGGGGGTGCCACTGGAGACAGGGAGACCAGCCAGGTTCTGATCGAGATGGAGATGGACCCCTGCCTGAAGTTAGGGCAGCTGGGAGGATGGAACGAATTCAGCTAGGGGAGATCTAGGAGGAAGAGTCAACACAGAGCACTGGGTCACTGAGGGAAGAGGAGGAGGGGTAGCAGTGAAGGGTGGTGGGGCAGGCACTGCTCCTGAGACCCCCTCTCTGTGATGACTCCCCTCCACTACTCAGCCCTGCCCTCCTGCTGCCAGTTCCTACATTTATAGCCCCCCCGCTCTCTGGCCCCTGAAACCCTTGGCCCACTGATGCCATACCACACTGTGGGGGGACTGCCTCTTCAGGAAGCAGCTTTTTATTTATTTTTAAAAATTATATTTATTTTGGGACCAGCAGATGGTGTAATAGTTATATCACTGGACTCCCATGTAGTCAACCATGATTTGAGTCCTGGACCTGGCAGCTTAAAACTCACGCCGGGCGCATGTGCGTGCGTGCCCAAGATCCCGAGAGGAGAATGGAGGAGAAAGGACTGCGGCGGGGCCTTCCCCCTGGGGGGTGATTTCTCGCTTTCTTTTTTTTTTTGGAGAGATTTTTTACTGCAGGGCACGTGCGCTCGCCAGACAGACAGAGAGAGACATAGAGACAGAAAGCGAGAAATCACCCCCCAGGGGGGATGGTCACGCCACAATCCCTTCTCCTCCATTCTCCTCTCGGGATCTTGGGCACGCACGCACATGCGCCCGGCGTGAGTTTTAAGCCACCGGGTCCGGGACACGAACCGCGGTGGACTACGTGGGAGACCAGCGACATAGCCATTACGCTAACTGCTGGTTCCCTCGCCTTCTACCTCTCTGTCTCTCTCTGTCTCTCTGGCGAGGTCATGCACCCTATAGCAAAAATCTCTTTCTAAAAAAAGAATTCTATTTATTTTTCTATGAGTGAGAGAAACAGAGGGATACAGCACCCCGACAGTGTTCTGACACCAAGATCCACCCCCAGCCTCCGGCCAGCTCAGCACCCAGGGCGCACGTGTGCCCAGTGAACGCAGGGCGGTCTCCTGAGTTTAGTAAGAAGCCTCCCGGGAGGGACTGCGTCGCAGGGCACCCTGTGTTTGATCACGCGCCCGCCTGGCCCCGGAGCAGCTGTAACAGCCCCCTGGCTGCATAAACATCTCAGCTCTCTCCTCATAGGCGGGGCTTGCTGAAGTGCGTGGTCTACACGGGGGCAGCCTGTCTAATAATGCCCGCTTTGCTGGCTGCCTTTCTGTCCCCGGCTCGTCTCTCCATTGACTCCTGGGCGTTTGCTGGTCTCACCGCCTACAAAGCACTCCCTGCACTGTGGCCTCTGCTGCTGTGCTTCTGGGGAGAGCCAGACAAACAGCGTCCGAATGGATGGGCTGCGCCCCGCGGGTGGTGGCGCCCTCCACTAACACAGGAGGAGAGGACGGCTATAACCAACCAATTAACTGAGCGCTTCCGTTTTGGGGGGAACGGAGGTATGAGGAAAGTGGGAGGCAGGGGAAATGATACCCTCTGTTCACTTCGGGACCTGTTGGAATTTTTAAATTTATTTGCTTTTAAATTTTTTTTTGGTTTGTTTTTAATTTTTGCTATAGGGAGCATGTACTTGCCAGAGAGAGGGAGAGAGAGAGAGAGAGAGAGAGAGAGAGAGAGAGAGAGAGAGAAAAGAGAAAACACCCCGTGGTGGG